CTCCCCTCCCTCCCTCCCTTCTTTCTCCCCCTCCCTCCCTCCCTTCCCCCCTCCCCCCCCTCCCTCCCCCCTCCCTCCGCGGGCTCCAGTGCCCGAGCGGTGGCTTTGTCTCTGGGCAGCCAGGAGTGGAGGGCTGACCTCCCGCACCGCAGGGTGTGATGTCTGGGGGGGTCTCTTCTCCCCAGGGCTGGGGTGCCGCTCAGCAGCTAATGAGCTCGCTTTCCTCGGTGTCTCCGAACCCCGGAACCTTGAGGGGTTTGGGCCAGAGGTTCTGGGCCCAGCGGGGCTGAGCTGCTTTGTCTGGGAACCAGAGCTCGGGCGCGGGAGGGTCTAGGGGGGCTGGCCTAGGCGGGTTGGGGCGGGGGGGGGCTGGCCTAGGCGCGCAGGCCGCATCTCCGCGCATCTCTGCGCCCCGGGGCCGGCGGCGCCAACAAAGGCCGCGTCCACCCGCCAACTCCGAAGCCAAATCCGCCGCCTCGCGGGGCAGGGCCTCGGCGGGGACCCAGGAAAGCGGCCCCTCGGCCCCGGGCGCAGAGATCCGGGAAGCGGCGGGGCCTGGGCCTGGGCGCCCGGCGCTTGGAGTCCTCGGCTCCGGCCGGGGCAGGGGGTGGGGACTGGGCCCGGAGGGCAAGGGGCCTGCCGGCGGGAAGGTGCACCGGCCAGGAGGCCGGGCCCGCCAGGCGGCGGCGGAGGCGCGGGCGGAGGGGCTCACCGTGATCCGGGGGATGCTCTTCTTGCCCTGGAAGGACATCCTCCTCCTGGAGCGGGGCCGACGGGGGTGCCGGGCAGGGGCCGCTAGCGCCCGGCGGGGCAGATGCGGGCAGGACAGGGGTGGGGGTGCCGGGTGGGTGTCGGAGTGGGAGCCAGCCCGGCCGCGCAGCTCCCGTCTCTGGCCCCGCCCACAGCCAGGCCCCGCCCCGCCCCGCGGCCCATCCAGTCCCGCCCCCTCGGGCTCAGGTTCCTCCCTCTTGTCCCCCAACCGCCAGACCCCAGGCCCCAGCGCTGACCTCAGGACCAGCGGACGCGCTGGCTGCAGAGGAGACATGATTGCAACAGATGCAGGTCCGTGTATGAAGTCTGCCCCACCCCCACCTTCCCATGCCCCCACCCCTGCCCAAGGAGGTGGCAGAGATCATCAGTCCATGTCTTGCCAGGACAGCCAAGGTCCGGCCGCCAGCTCCCTGGTGACCTGAGGTGCCCAAGGCCGCAGGGATGGAACCCGATCTCCAGTCCAGGCCCCAGAACACTCCGGCCAGGAAGTGTCTCTGGCCAAAGCCCAGCTCCTTCAGGGGTAACCCAGCCCGGGTTGGAGCGCTGGGCTGAACACTGGCCCAGGCTGGGGCGGACGGGCGGTGGAGACACCTCCCGGCGAGGCTGCCGCAGGGCCAGCGCACGAAATTTAGGGGCGCAGGGGGGGCATGTTGGAGAGACACAGGGACACAAAAAGACGGAAAGAGACAGCGAGACACGGAGAAACAGACAGCTACCCAGAGCCCAGGACCCACCGGAGTGCGAGAGGCCGAGGCCCGGAGGGGCTGGGGTGGAGATGGAGGGAGGGAAACAAACGCAAACCAGAGAAGGCCAGTCAGGTAGAGAGAGGCCAGGCCTCCAGCTTCAAGTCCCCCCGGGAGGAGCTGAAGGTGATGGGAAGAGGGTGCCCAGCAGCCTCCCAACGTGGGTATGCGGCCCTAGGTGTCCGGGCCCACGTCCCCTCGCACTGGCCCCGCCGCCCTCGGCCTCTGCCTGCCTCCGGACCACCTCCTCCTGGCTCTCCGGGTCCCTCCGAGTCACCGAGTCACCATGTGGCCTCTGTAGGGCTCTCCGGCTCCAGGGCTCGGCGGCCGCCACCCAGCGCTTCCAGCTGCAGCATCTTGTTCTCAAAGGCATCCTCCATGCAGTGGAAGACACGGCCAAACTTGGGGATCTGGGGCTGCCTGCGCCCAGGCACCGGGCAGAGGCTCCGTGAGTTCCCACAGCGGCTTGTGGCCCTGGTGGGAGCGGGGAAGAGACTGCGGTCCCAGAGTCTCCTGATGAGGGATGTGGGCACTGCGTGTGGACTGGGCGGACCTGGGCCTAGTGCTCACCCTGCCCCCTGCCCCATCCCACCCCGCCACGCACCCCCTACTCCACCCCTACTGCGGAGCTGGCGCTGTCCATACTTGAAGTGCTGAATGCGTGCCTGGGGCCCAGTGGGGTTTGACTGTTAGCCTGGGGCAAGCGTGGGTTCCCACCTCCTGCTCCATCCAGGGACCGCGGTCTATCAGAACCCCAGCTGTGTTTCCGGCCTTCATGGAGGATTCTATGCCAGGCAGGGAGGCTCTGATTCCGAACGTTTCCAAGGGGAGGGGGGGGGGGGGGGCAGGGGGGGTGAGCCCAGGGAATCTGCTCGTGGCTGCTCTCAAAGCCAAGTTCAAGGTGTTGAGGAGAGGGTACTCTCAGCTCGCCCAGAGTCACAGGGTGATGCCGCCACTCTGTGGAGCCCTGCAGATTGCCTTGTAAATGCAGCCAGCATTTGAAAGCATACGCTCGGACACGAGAGTCACTGCGGGACACTGGAGGGCTCGACTGAGTACCCGCAGGGCATAACGTGGGCAGAGCTAAGTCAGCTCCCTCCCATCCCCTCACCCCCCTGGATCCCACTCCCCAAAGCCCTCTCCTCACCTGTGTGCGATGGTCCGCAATGCAAACCTGCTGCCAGGTGTCCTGACTCATTCACAGGAATTCTCCCACTTCTCCACGCCATCTGAACTTTCTCTCCTGTCTCATTTGACAAATGGCTGACCTCAGCAGGTGCTGCCAGGTGCCTCTGACTCCAGTGCCTGTCCTTCCAGGAGATGCTCCATGACTTCAGATGAGCCCACAGATGAGATGCCTGCTGCCCCTCCCCAGTGGGCAGGAGGCCCGAGTTCCCTTCTTGGTGTGGAAAGAGATATTATCCTTCAGAATGCACACAGAACACAGGAGTGGCTAACATAGCCAGACTTTAATACCTTCTGAGGAGGAGAACATTGCTATTCTAAGATTTATAACAATGTTTATTAAAACTGTACAATAAATTACAAATGAGTAAAAACTTTTCTGATATACATCGTAGGAATCACCGTACAAAAATATGTGCAAAATGTTTGTGGTTGATCGCCATACAAACCTACGTCGGACCTGTGGATACCGGCTAGCACGGAACAGATCACACGTGTAGAATGTGTTACTGAGGAGGTTTTCGGGGACGTAAATACTGGGCTGGCATGTTGCCGGGAGGAGACAGCTGCTCAATTTGTTTTTGCATAAATGTACAGTCAAGCTTTTAAAAAATAGACAGTAAACAAATATAGGATTTGATACATATATGTACAACTTGATTTCCTGAGCCTAAACGTAAGTCCGTTGCTGTGTTAAAACACACAGCCCACCTTAAGGTTTTGACGACGGCAAAAGCAGGTGAAAGTGACAGAGCCTCAAACCCACTCCCACACACCCTCCTTCCTGACCTCCGGGGCCGTGTAAGGCACGCAGGGTGTCCCGAAGCTTGGGGTCCCCCCAGACCGAGGTGCACACACCTCCATGTCAGCAAGGAAGCTGCGGTTCACGTGGGCCTCTTGGTCTAGACAAGCGTAGCGGTGCGCTGTTCTGGGGTGTGCACACAGTGCTACGTGAGAGCTATGGTGCTGCATACATGTTGACGTCTTGGTTACACAGTCAGCATTTCTGGCAAGGTTTCAGGGTCCCCCACTTGGTCCACTGGGGAGCGATGCATTTCCACACAGACTTCCCCTTTGGAAGAGCTCACTGGTCTTGAGTAAAAGGTACACTCTAGGATTTAGAAAATGCACCTTCTTTAAAGTACTTGAATTCTCCAGGTGCTTGCTGGGCCAGCAGGAATCAGTGGCAAATGCTCGTATTTTGCCGTGTGCGCAAAGCCCAGTCCTGAAACGCTGGCTTTTGTAATGAGATGAAAGTGGGCGCCTCTGACACAGAACAGAAAGCAATGCTGTCGAAGGAGAAAAACGGACATTGTGTGTGCTTTCCGAAGACGGCAGGGATGCGAATGTGCTCTGGTGCCTGGAATGTTTTTTTGAAACATTCATTGAGCCGTTTCCCCTCTCCTATGGACACACATTTCACGTGTAACAACTTTGTATGCATCAGTGCATACGCACATGCTTCTCTCTCCCGAACAGTGTGCCCTTTTTAAAAGTATAAGCTGTGATTAAACGTGTCAGGGTGGGTGGGTTGGCCCATGAAGAACTCCAGACATGTGGACAACATGCAAAGCCAGAGCAGTCCAAGGAGACAGGGATGTGACTTTGGATTTCAAATGCGGATCTTTAGATCCTGAATGGCCGCCCGCATGACTGCTGCTCCTGTGCAGGTTCGCACTGGGGGACCCCACAAGAGGAGTGCATGGGACTTCCGGGGTGTCCCCTGATGCCTGGGTCACACACTCCCTCACCCTTCCATCTGTTCATCCATCAGTCCTTGGGCCTTTCACTAATGCCAGGCTATTGCTGCCATTCGGTTCTGAGCACAACCAATGCTGGTTCAGTCATCATGAACTGGCCCAGGTCCTATCCCAGTGAATGCTAAGTCAGCATGGCCTTAATGACAGCAAAGGATGAGCCCTTCTCACAGACGTGCTGAATAGTGTGCTGCCCAGCGGAACCCTGCCCGCCCTCAGGAAGCACATCTGTCTGACCCTGTCAGCGTCTCCCCATTCCAGCCCAGGGAGTCGGCTGCCGCTGTCGTCCCCACCAGAGCTGAGCATCTGTTCCAACATAATGTAAACCGAACCTACACTTCAGACAATGCAGCCACCCACCCTCCCTCCTGCCGCTCGGTGATGCGGTTTGTGTTCCTTTATGCAACACTATGAGCTCTGTTCTCGCCTGGCTGCACGGCTAACTGTCCGGTGTGTCCACTTCTAAGTGCCCTGAGGGCTAAATTCCTGTGCATGGTGGTCTGGTGGAGCAAGTGTGTGCACGTGCACACAAACACACGTGCGCACACATGCACACGTGCGCGCGCGTGCATGCACACACCCCTTGCAACTTCAGCACCGAGAGCAACAACCTTAGTCTATCCAGGGGCGAGGCCCACAGAAGAAGAGCTGGATATTGGGCTGCATCCCAGTGCTGGGCGGCGTTCCTGGGCTGCGGACCGAGCCCTCGGCGGGAAGGGAAATCACACTAACCCTGGCTTCCACGTGTGCCGTTTCCTCTGAAAAAAGAGGGAAGACAAAAGCTTTATTTTAGTGTGAGCCATCCAAGGCACTCAGGGGAAGGCCTGAGAAAGCGCCAGGGGCCGCGGTGCCACATTTGAGCCCCTGCCCAAGAGATGCAAACAGCGTTCCTGAAGGTCATGGGGCCACAAAGGTGGGTCCGTGGGTTCCACGCATGAAGCCACGTGCAGAGTGGCCTAGACCTTCCCACAACGCCTGGGGCAGCTGCCCACGTTCCCACCCCATCTTCTCATTACCACTGAGAAAGGGGCTGTGGTAGGCGGCAATCCCTCCTTCTCGTCTTTTACCTTTGTGATGTCTGGAACAGGTTAGGAAAGGCCTTCTAACAAGGAGGCCAGGCCAGGATCGGCTCCTGGGGCGGCAGGAGTAAGAGCAGGATGAGGGAGGGGTCAGAGGCGAAACCCCAGGGTCTCAGATTTTAGAAACTCTACAGGTTTCTGGTCCAGGAGAGAACGAGAGGGTTTGTGGGTTTTTTGTTTTGGTTTCTTAGCCTAATTTCTAAGTCAGCTGACAGTCCCCGAAGGAGAGCGCCCTGGACTGGCAACTGCCCGGCGATGGGGCGGTGTCCTGGTAGGGACGGCCGCCACAACCAAAGCCTCGCTACATTTAGGAGAGCGCGGTTATGGCGTCGTGTCCATATTGGCCTGCACTGAGGAAAAGTGAGGAAGCACAGGAATAGGCAGACAACCAAAGCCATAGACTGGCTCCATGTCACGGCGCCAGAATGAGCAGAGGAGGGACTGGGGGTGCTGGCAGCCTGATGTTTTGAAGTGGGCCCCGGCCTGCAGACACAGGCACGTCAGAACCTCATTAAGAGCTGCGGAAGCAGAACGCCCATCGGTCCCACGTGCGAACGGACTCGTACATATGGATCAGGAAACAACATTCTGATTCCTGTCAAAATAGAGCCGGAGGAGCAGGCCTGCGTCTGTGTTTGTGTTGGGAGTTCCCGCCGAGATCAGCTGTGGGGAAACAGCGCTGCTGGCACTGGGGACGAGCACCTTCAGGGTCGGAGGTTTGTTCTCTGCCTTCCAACCATCTGAGCACACAGGATCCCACCGAGTCCACGTCAGCCCAGGGCTCACCAGGTCACTACCTCCAGGTAATGGCCGGAAGGGTGTAGAAGCCAGGTCAGCCGTGTCCCTCCAACAGAGAAGGTGGCTGATCTTATCTGTGTACCATGCATATACGTGGACTGCACAGTCCCCTGCCAGTGTGGGCGCAGAATCCAACTGCCCAGGCTGCCAGGCCTCTGCCTGACCACACACACACACACACACACACACACACACACGCGTGTCACACGGGCGCACTCTGCCTGCTCCCCACCAGTGCCTGTCCCGTTTCCTGTCTGGGTGGCAGGCAGCAGCTCTCACAGCCCCACAGGGGGCTGTCCAGCTGTCTTTTCTGACACTGACCTCTCTGATAATGGCCCCATGGCTGTGCCTCTAAAAAGACCCATTATTGCTTCCATCAAGATGGCTGCATTTCCATCACCAGGCAGCTGCTGCCGGCAGGGAGCTGTGGCCTGAGTTGTGGCCGAGAGACTGGGCTAGACAGCAGAGCGGTGAGGGGGAGGGGACGCCTCCATTTCTGCCTGCGACTCTGCACATCTCGCAGGGACATTAGAGGAAGGCTTTGCCGTTCCTAAGGCAGGAGGATTCTAAACAAAGAGCGACAGTAAATTGCAACACGAACGGGGAAAGCCTCCGTTCACAGTCTCTGGGAGGCCGAGCATCGTGTCTAGTTTTGGCTCCCAGGTGGACACACGCCCAGAAGCAGCCCCTGCCCATCACACTCACAGACTTTACAAGAATGTTCCAGAAGCAAACCCGAGTGTCCGTCAGAGGGAGGAAAGCCCACGCCACGCAGACACAGTACGGAGAGTCTGGGCGCCATGATATCACATGCAGGAAGCACGGCCGGGAGACACACACAGCACCTCTCCTCTCTTCGTCAAGACTGGCGAGACAGCGCAACTACACCTTTAGGAACACGTGAGTCTGCAACAAAGCTCCACAGGGCGCTGCCCGGGCCTGGGACAGCAGTGACCTCTCAGGGGAGGGCAGCGATGGGCCAGGGTCCTGTGGTTGGAAGTCACCGCGTCCACAGATGTTAGAAAGAACAAATCGCCGAAACCGGTTTGGCTCAGTGGATAGAGCGTCGGCCTGCGGACTGAAAGGTCTCAGGTTCGATTCCGGTCAAGGGCATGTACCTTGGTTGTGGGCACATCCCCAGTAGGGGGTGTGAAGGTAGCTGATCGATGATTATCTCTCAAGACGGCAAAGGTGGAGGGAACTCGGTGACAAGGACCGGCGAGGGGAAGGCACAGGAGCTGCAGTGGCCTCTCAGGCCAGCAGGGATCCCTCAAGCCAGCAAGATGGGGGGGGGGGGGGCAGGACAAGCTAAGATCCAGTGGGTCTGGAGCAGATGTGGGGCACCTTTCACAAGCTCCCCGCTGCAGAGCAGAGATGAGGCCATGCTCAGAGCTCAGGGACAGTCCCTGCACGTTCACAGGGGCTCCAGGAGGCCTTGGCTGGCCTGGGGGTGTCTTGGGTCTGGGCTGAGGAGGCCCATATGGGGTCAGCTCATGAAGGACAGAGTGAGGAGCCCACACATGGACACCCTCTGGGGATCAGACCTGGTCCAGGGGCAGTAATGGGCAGTGAGCCACCCCCACCCGGCCCACCCACCCACATAGACACAGAGGAGTGTCCCAGCAAACTGACCCACATGTAAAAGCGGCTGCACTGGACTGAGCAGGATCAGATAAGGTGGAATCCTGTGGCCAAACAGATGTCATCACCCCCACCCCCACCCCAAGGGCCCCAAGCAGGCGGGATGGAAGCGCTGTCCCCAGGGACGTGTGGCAGTGCCTTACCTGCTCGCCACCTCGGCGTCCGGCTCCCTCCTCACCTTCCCAGGTGCCCTGCTGTCCTTCGCAGAGTTCCAAGGGCAGAGTTCTGGACAGGGCAGCTTCAACCCCACTCAACTCCCTGCGGCCTGCAGGCCTTGGGCGGGCGGAGACCAGCACCCAGGCCTCCATGGGGTCTGGGCTGCTGCTGGAGGTGGCCACTGGATCTCTGAGGAGGTCAGAGCCCTGTCCAGGGGGCCGCTGTGTCATCCACCTGCCGTCATCATGCTCAGTCCCACCAGCCTCAGCCTTCACGTCTCCGGCGGTGAGGAGGCCCCGGCGATGGCATGGAACAGCATGGCAGCCGCAGCCCCATCTGTGCCCTGGGGCGTCAGCCTCAAACGAGGGCGGGCATCGTGATGGGTCCATCAGTCAGTGCAGGGACCCCAGTGAGCGAGTCGCAGCGTCAGCGCAGCCCAGCGGTGGCGGCCCAGGGAGACCCCCTCGGGACGTCCGGAACGCGGTGACCACAGGCCACCGTCGCGGCCACAGCCACACTCGGTCTTCCTGTGGGGCAGCTGCGTTTTTCTGAGAATCCTCCTCGGAGACCAGGTCACAGCTGCTGCGGGAACCAGGAGGGGTGGGGTGCCGGCTCTGGGACACGCCCTTGGCACCTGCACAGTTTGCTTCTGGAACATTCACGTCCCCGGAACGGGAACTGGGGGGGCTGCATCCCAAGGAGGGGCCCCAGGGTCCAGCAGCCAGGACCAAGCCCTTCCGTGGAGCCCCGTCAGGAAACCAGTTCTCACCCGGGCTCGTCAGGGCGGACAGCCGCCCGCTCAGAGCAGCCGGAGCCCCCCTCTCGGCCGCTGCCTCCCCGGGAGGGCGTCCGCCCAGACCAGAGCCTCCGGGGCACGCAGGGGTGGCGCAGGCCGCCTCCACGTGCCACCCAGGCGCCCGCTGCTGTGCAGTCCAGCCAGAGGGACGGGGTCCGGCTCCTCTGGGGGCTGGAACAACAGAGACGAGGACACGTCAGGACGGAGGCTCAGTGATGGGCAGAGGCTGCGGGATGGGGCCCGGGGGCAAGGCCCGCCACCTCCCGGGGAAGTCCTCACGGGCACCCTGTGAAGGGCGGGGCCTCGGACACACACAGACGTGTCCTCTCCTCTTGTCTCGGGAGGAGGAGGTGGCTGGCCTCCACGTGTGGCCCGGGTGTGAGAGCTGCGGGATGGGCCACAGCTTAGCCTGATCGGGGCGTCAACGAGCCAGCGCGTCAGGGAGGCTGGCCTCTCCGGCCGGGTCTCCAGCGGGACCCAAGCTCATACCTGATACCACGGGGAGAGGACAAAAGACCCAGCAGTGCTCCGCCAGCACTCGTGCCCCCGACACAGGAAACAGAGCCACGAGGCATCTGGGGCGCACACAGCCCTCCGCCCTGTGGGTGGGGGGTCCTTGCCCTCCTTCTTTGTCAAGAAAGGCCAGCGCCCTGGGCCCTCTGACGACCGCAGGCCCCTCTGGACCCTGGTCCCCGCCGGGGCTGAGGGTCCTGGGCCGCGGGCACCTCCCGGGCAGGCAGGGGGCAGAGCGGGACCCTCGCCCGGAAACTCTGGGCCATGACATACTCACCACGTCAGGGTGCCCGGGCGAGCTATGACCACAGAATGAAAGCTAAGGAGAAAAATAAGAACAAAAATAGAAACTGAAAAGGAGGGGAGGGCAGAGACATGGAGGGGAGAGAGAGAAGAGAGAGGTTGTAGTACTCTGGCAGGAGACACGGTGGTCGCAGACAGAACGAGACGGGGGCCGGCGGGGTCAGGAGCCATCCTGCCGGCCGGGGTCAGCGGTTTAAGGATCATGCCTGGGGGGGGGGGGCCTGGGTCTGAGTGACGGTGTGGCCACCACACAGACATGCTCTGGGGACCTCGCATCGGCCAGAGGCAGGGCTGGGGGGAGAGGGGGACAGGCAGGAGGCACGTGCCTGGTGCGTCCCTGCCTCTCAGGGGCACAGATTGGAGTGCGGAAGAGGGCAGCTGGTTAGAGGGCGTGTGGGATAGGAGCTCTAGGGTGGCCTTGGGCGCAGTGGATTGGCACACTTACTGGGACGAGACTGCTCAGCAGATGGCAGTGAAGTGCCCAGAGTTTGTCACTGGCGGGAGGGGTGGGCAGTGTGGGGTGGGCAGGGTGAGGAGGGGTGAGCTGTACGAGGACTGCTGTGGGGAGGGGACCCTCTCCTCTGCCGGCTCTTTGAGGAGGATGCGCAGCTACAGGTGAGGGAGTCCCATCCAAACACCAGCCTCCTGCTCTGTGGAAGGGACCAGCCGGGGAGCACTCGGCACTCAGTGGGGAGCCGCCCCTCTATGAGGCCTGCCCTCCAGGCGGGACTGACCACAAGAACCCACCACTTGTGGTCACTGGCGATCACTGAAACGTCCCTAAATTACGGGAAAAGAACTGCCCTAAACTAAGCAAAGCCCCACGGTCAGAGTCAGGTCCTCCCCGGTCAGAGTCAGGTCCTCCCCGGTCCTGCTCCGGGCAGCTCGGTCTGGGGAGCGCCAAGTCGCACTAATACCGGGAGTGGACGGGCCCCCGTGACTCACACCTCACAGGCCGGGGTCCAGGAAAAGAGCCGGACAGTCCGATCCAGGCCCCAAGCTGTGTGGCCCCAAACTAAACCTGTGCCAGCACGCGAGTCTCCTAAACCTACAAGCCATTGTGTTAGGGACCAGAAACAAGACTCGTCCTGGACAAAACAGATGCCTCAGCCGGCTGTCAGGGAGCCTGGGCACATCTTGCCACAGCTGGGAAACTGAGATCATGAGAGACACGAGGGCCGCACAGCTGGGCCGTGGCAGAGGAGGCGGCCCAGGCCCCAGGCTCCTGGTCCAGAGCCGCTGCGGCCCTGAAACCTTTCTGTCCCCAGTGCCCCGACCCAGCAGCTTCCAGTGACGCCCGGGAGAGTTACTGGTCCTTCTCTCTTTCAGACGCTCTGGAAACAAAACAGGCCCCAAAACGTGCATTTGTTTTACCTTTTCCTCCAGTTCCTTTATTTGCCTCTTCTGGGCCTCTATCCTTTCTTCTAACTCCTTAATTCTCTGCAACGGCAAAGGGACGGAAGGCTTCCGTTACCAGGCTGCCTGGGAGACCATGTGGGAAGACGGCTTTCAAGGATTCCTTCAGGGACCTGGCGCCCAAGCAGCCACTGAGCCACGGCCGTGCTGGACGTGGGCCCCGTGGGGGTGCTGATGGGGGGGGGGGCAGGTGGCCTGGCAGGAGGGTCTGCATGGGTGTGGCTGATAGGGCGTGGTCGTGGGAGTGGCTCCTGGAGGGCACGTTCATGCACCATCTCCTCCATCCCCGCCGGCGCACCTGCTGTGCCAGCTGCAGGAGCTCCATGCGCTCCCGCAGGATCTGGGCGTCCCGCTCGCGCAGCTCGCTCATGACCTGGCGCTTCCACTGCTCCACGGCCGCCCGGAGCTTCTCCCGCTCCTCCTCCGACAGCAGCTCGGCCACCTTGGCCCCCGCCTCTTGCTGCAGGGCGTCGAACAGCATGGCCTCCAGCTCCAGGATGTGCTGGGCGGGAGGGGAGAGGTTAGTCCTCGCCCGGTGGGGGGCCAGGCACCCCGTCCCTCGGTGTCACAGCTCCGAGCCCCTGCACTGAGGGCACCGGCTGGCTGCAATGGTGCCCTGCCACCGGGCCCAGGGGCACAGCCCTCGGCGCCATGTGTAACGTCGGAAAGCGTGGCTGGCAGATCCGTGAGCCCGGAGTGGGGTGACGGCCTGGGGTGTGGGGTGTGGGCAGGTGTCCCCAAGGAAAGAACAGGGGAGGGAAGGCTTCTTCCTGGGCTCACAACCTTCGTCAGACCTGGGCTCTGAGACCCGGGGCGGGAGGAAGGGCAGTGCCTACAGGGCTCTGTGACTAAGGACAGGGTGGGAGTCCTTGACGTCCCGCCTTCCCTGCTGAGGGAGCGGGCATCTGAGTCCTCCCCAATGACGCCTGTGGTGGGGTGAATTGTGTTCCCAAAGAGATTCGATCCCGCCCTAGCCGGCTTGGCTCAATGGATAGAGCCTGCAGACTGAAAGGTCCCAGGTTCGAATCCGGTCAGAGGCATATGCCTGGGATGTGGGGTCAATCCCCAATAGGGGGCGTGCGGGAGGCAGCCGATCAGTGATTCTCATCATTGATGTTTCTCTCTCCGTCTCCCTTCCTCTCTGAAATCAATAATGTGTGTGTGTGTGTGTGTGTGTGTGTGTGTGTGTGTGTGTATGATTTGATCCACTCCCTCTCCACAAGTGGGAGGGCCACTGAGTGCCACCCCAGCACTCTGGCGCAGACACACAGGGGGCACACCCCGTTCCCCATGGGTCACAGCTTCCTTGAGGAGGCAGGACTGGGCCTCAGGGTCACCCAGGCCCACCATCGCGCCACACTGGTACAGCACCACCCGATACTCCGGAGCCCTCGCCAGCCCTGCACCAGCCACCTCAGCTGGTGGGCGACTTCCCATGGACCAGGGTGAAGGGTGACTATTAGGGGACATGGTCATCATCACGGGTCTCAGGGGAGAGCCTGGAGCCCCACAGACCCCTCGTCCCCTTGAAAAGAGTGGGGTAAGGGAGAAGCTGACCAGGCCGAGGAACAGCCGGCCCCCGGGCCCCAGGTCGGGGCTGATGGGTGAGACTCAGGGCGGGGAAGGACTGAGCGGAGACAGCGTGGGCTACGGTGGGGACACGGGGGTGCGGGGGTGGCGAGAAGGTAAGTGCCTCAGCCCTCTGCTGCCTTCCAGAAAGCCTGTTGTGACCGAGAAGCCAGGGACAGGCCAAGTGACTCCTGCTCTGACTCCGCCCCAGCGCTCACCCTGATGCACACTCCCAAGGGCTCAGCCATCGGGTCTGAGGCTGGGAGAGCTTTTTTCCTCTGGGACTTTAGAGATTCAGTCTTTGAAAGAACCACGTTCTCAAACTACAGAAGCCCATCTTCCCATAAAAAATGTACCCCTTCACACACGAATGTCTCCTTTTCTCCAGGCAAAACGATTAAGAAAACGCCTTTGGGCTGAGTAGGCATTTCGAGAAATGAAAAAAAAGCACCCACTTTTGGACCTCACTTAAGAGTACATTTCATGGTTCTTGACAGCCCCCACTGCGCTGTCCCAGCAGCACACACGCCTTCTCCCCACCTTCTCAGAGCAGGAGCGTGTGAGTGCGTGCAAGGGGAGCTCCGGTTCTCAGCCAAACACAGGCGAGTGTGGGCCTGGAATTAACACCCGGGGCCTGGGAGGGGGATGCGCGTCCCCTCCCTACACACACACAAGCAGGAGCCCGGGACACTGGGGGCGTCTCTGACCCTCCTGGCAACTCCGGGAAGTAGTCCCAGACCCACACCGGCTCTTAGCCCATCCTCAGGCACCTCGCTCAGGCCGCCTTGCTGGGGTGAAAGGGGGGGTCCCCCGGGACCAGCACATGACATCATCTGCCTTCACGGATTCGCACTCCAGGGGAGACAAAGGCACACGGACTAGGACGGCCCTGCAGGGAGACACTCATTCCCGGGGTGACTAATGGCCGGAGAGCAGGCGCGGGCTTGGTCCTGCAGGAAACTTGGGATCTGTCATGGGGACGCTATTTCCCACCGGCAGGCAGAGTGTGGGTCAGGGAGTGGGTGCGAACACAGCAGGAATCCCAGGAGAGAGGTGTTACTTAACTGTGTTCAGTTAATTCGCAAATGAATCCTATTTCAATGACTTCAGTGCTATCACCTCATTTCAAATGTCCCCTTGGCTGCTCCTGTGCCCTGGTTCCTGGGGCGAAGCATTTGATGACGGGCCTGGGCATCCTCGGAGCTCGCCAGGCAACGGGGTGTCAGAGGGACCCAGGCAGGCAGTGACCCACCGATCACACTGGCCCAGGCTCTCCTGCAGGCTGAGGCCTGGCCCACACTGGCCCCAGAGACAGGGTACTGGCGAGGGAGAACTCCCATTTCCATGCCCCCGGGGCCAGCAGCACACGGCTCTTACCTTGTGGGCCTGGTCCAGGGCCTGCTTCCTGTAGTCCAGCTCCTCGTCCAGGTAGCCCTTTTGCTTACTGAACAGCTCCTGAAACACACGGGGACCTGGGTCTCGGCCTCGGGGGTCCAGCCTGGTGACGCCGGGATGCGGGCCACATGGCGGGACACCCACCCACCTTCTCACTCTCCAGGTCGACCATTTTCCGCTGCAGGGCTGTCTCCATCTCTTCCATCTGCTGGAGCCACTGGACACAAAGAGAGCGGGTGGCTGTGACCCTGGGGTGCCATCCCCTCCCCCCACCACGTAAACAGCCTGCCGAAGGAGGGGGGGGCAGGCCTGGCCCTGGCGTCCCCCCACCTCCTCCTGGAGGGGGGAGCTTGCCCTCATAGGGAGTCAGGGCTGAGCTGGCACTATGGTCTCCCTGAGCTCCATCTGCCCAGGGTACAGGCCAGTGCAGGCTCCAGCCCACAGCCTGCTGGTCTCCAGGAAGTCTGCCCCCAGCCAGGAGGAGCATTGTCTCTGAGCTGAGCACCCACACCATCACTTACCTTCTCAGCCAACGTCAGGACGGTCCTGGCTTGTATGACAACCACTTGCTCTTCATTGGTCAGATTCTGCGTCAAAGCAGAATAGACAGAGAGTCAGGGCAGGGCCATCGGGGTAGCTGGGATGAATGACAGGTGCATGGTGAGAATGAATGATGGCTGCTCAGTGATGGGGCTGAATGAGGCTTACATGGTAGGGCTGAATGAGGGTGCATAATGGGGCTGGATGGTGGCTGCAAGGTGGGGCAGAGTGGTGGGTGTTTAGTGGGGCTGATGGAACAGATGCAGGGTGGGAGCTGGGGCCACAGCTAAGGCTGCTTTTACGAAAACACCCTCCCAGGAGTCTGGTACCCTGTTTGTGACCCTGTCCTTTCTGTCCTCTCTGGTCCGCTCACTGCTGGCAGCCATGATGGTCTATTTAGCCCACTGAGGCAGGATGGGATGGGCGGGCAGCACATCGAGCAGGCAGGCAGCAATACACGTGTCCCCACCTGTCTACGCTCCCATCTACGTGCAAAGCCAGCTCTTTGCATCTGCGGCCCTGAATTATTAAAACATCGCTGGCAAATGTGGAGCAAAGAGCACACACCGTGGCTGTGAAATGGTCCCATCCCTGGTGCTTTGCCTTTTTTCTGCGTGTTTTATTCCTGTCTCATTCCAAGGAGCCCGCCTGGGTGGTCCCTCCAGGTGGGGAGTCTGGTTTTGAGACCAGTGAGCATCCTCAGAGGGTGTGGGCACATGAGGTGGTGAGAGCTGGGCTGCCCCTGACTCCCTCTGCTGTGGAAGCTCCCTAGGGGCAGGGGTCTCTTGCCATCCTGACCCTATGCAGGCGGCATGGAGGGGGGCGGGTAGTGACCAAGTGCTATAGGCACAGAGGCAGGCTCTGTCCATGGGACACGCTGCACCCCTGATCCAGGCGTGGTACTGGGGCTGGGCCAGGGCCCCGCATCCTTCCTGCCTCCGGCAAACTGGCCAGGTGGCAAGAATGTCTGGGTTTTGGCATGTGCTTGTGAGTGAGCAAGTGTGTGTGTGTGTGTGTGTGTGTGTGTGTGTGTGTTTGCATGTGTTTCTTTTTCTTCCATGTACTGTGAGAAGTGCACTAGTTTGTCTAAGTCAGTGATCGGCAAACTCATTAGTCAATAGAGCCCAATACCAACAGTACAACGACTGAAATTTCTTTTGAGGGGAGATAAGAGATCAACCAAAGGACTTGTATACATGCATATAAGCATAAGTAACTAATGGACGAAAAACTATGGGGAGGGAGGGAATGTACGGGAGGGGGGGAATTGAAAAAAATTAAAAATAAATAATAAAAATAAAAATAATAGAAAAAAATTCTTTTGAGAACCAAATTTTTTAAACTAAAACTTCTTCTAACACCACTTCTTCAAAATAGACTCACCCAGGCCTTGGTATTTTGTGGAAGAGCCACACTCAAGGGGCCAAAGAGCTGCATATGGCTCTCGAGCTGCAGAATGCTAACCACTGGTCTAAATGTTCTTTCTTGAGAGCAGTGACCAGGATGGGAAGCCCAAGGACTTTAGGACAGCTGTGGGCCATGTGTTTGTTAGCACACCTTGGGGTGGGGGAAGTTCTGGGGTATAGGGTGGGGCTGCCACCTAGTGCAGCTGATCACCCCTTGGGCAGAGGACTCAACAAGTGTAAGATGGTGAATGGAGGGTGGACGAACAAAGGATGGAGGATGGGGAATAGATGAATGGATAAATGGAGGATGGACGATGGAGGATAATGGGAGATAGAGGATGGCTGGATGGAGATGAAGGACAATGGAGGATAGAGGAGCAGCTTTGTGGATGGAGGATACAGGATGAATGGATGGATGGAAGATAGATGGACGGAGGATGAAGGATGGATAGATGGAGGCTGGCTTGCTAGAGGATGAATGGTTGAGGGATAAATGAATGGAGGATGAATGGAGCTGCACAATCGGGCTGGATGGATGGAGGATGAATGGATGAATGGATGGATGAATGGATGAAGATAGATGGATGGACAGGGGCTGGAGTCTGGGATGTAGATATGGTTACTTTGTCCCTTCACTAATGAGGATTCCTTCTGGGTGTTTGTTGTAGAAATTGGAAATCTGGCCTAAATGAGACTTGGAATTATTAATGAGCTCTGCCCACCCTCCCAACCAAGATAGTGAGACTCCCAAATCTGGGGTGTCTACAGCACCATCCCAGGAACAGTTAAAGACTGAGAGGGATCCAGAAACTGAGACTGCGTGGCTAGAAGTATCTCTGCTGAGGAGTTGGGTGTGGGCTCCCCACCCTCACAGAGCAGAGGCCCCAAACCCCCGTGTGGATGGTCGCCACCCACACGGGCACAGGAACAGCATGAGGAAGGAACAGAATTTCTCCCAAATGCCTGGCGCCCATCTCAAGCAGCCCGGGCCACAGGAGGGTGTGGCTGGGCTGGGCAGGGCAGCCTGCGGCAGGACCACAGAGGCTCACGGGGGGCCCCGGACCACGGCATGAGGAGGCATGCACAAGTCAGGAGAGCAACATACACTTACGGCGTTGTCCCCCAAGATGTCCAGCTTCTTCATCAGCTCTGTGACCTGGATGTCCTGGAGACAAAGACACGAGGGACACAGGGGAGGTGAGCGCCAGTGGGTGGGGCGGACGTGGGCACAGTTGGGCACAGTTGGGGCACAGTTGGGGCAGGGGGGGGGTTACCGTCACGCCTTCCGCCTCACAGTACGCTTGCAGGGGGCTCTTGCCGTCCACGAAGGGGATGTGGTGGAAGTTGATGGCGGGTGACTTCCGCTCCCTCTCCTAGACAGAGAGCAAGGCTAGGCACGGGCGGCCGGCCCCTCCCGGCTCCTCCCACCATGGAGGCTGCGCTGGGGCAGCCCAGGGAACACAATAAAGCCACAGAGGCCACCAAACGTGGTCAACATGACATTGGTGTAAGTGAAGCTCCGGCTGTAGCGGGGGCTGAAAGCTCAGTGGACTTGCGCGGGAAGATGCCCACGGAGCCGGAGCGCCCAGCCCAGGCGGGCCCTCGGGGCTTGATCAGGCACCGGGAACCCCAACTGACTTGGGGGGCTGTATCCCACAGGCCTGCCCAGAGCAGTTCCCCAGGACAGCGGCTGGTGCTGCTGTGTCCTCAGCCAGGACCACATGCAAGAGTCCTGAGGCCAAGGAAACTGTCACACACAGGGAGCCACACAGCCTTCCTGCACCCCAGGGAGGTAGAGGGGGCCACCCTGAGGGCCAACTCCATCTGGACTCAACCTGCTTCCTCAGTGGGCAAGTGGGGACCCTACACCCCCACCTCAGGTGACCAGGAAACAGACCGTGGGAATGAGGGTGCAGAGAAACAAAGCAAAGATGGGCCTCAGTGTCATACAAGACGGTGGTCGTCCCGCCAGCGAGGGTCATGACCTCCTTGTCACCAGGTGTCCTAAAGGCGGCAGGACTCAGAAGGGGCCCTGGAGCTGTGTGCAGGTGCCAGCAGGACAGATGCCCACCCAGGTCACTGCCGCCCTGCCTCAGATGTGGACCTCATGTCCCAGCTGCCCTGGCAGGCGGGCATCTGGTCACTCACTGCCTGGCACCCTCATGCAAGGAGATGCACCCTTTCCAACCCAGCCTTTTGGGGTTGTGCGTCAGGGAGGCGGAGAGAGGGGCCGGCTCAGCCCTCCATCTCCCCAGCCCCACAGGCAACCCCTCGGGCCTCTCTGCGCACGCCCCGCACCCCACCCCCAGCGCACCTCCAGTTCCAGGATCCGGAATTCCAGCAGCTCGTTCTGGTCTTTCACATCCTGGACGTCGTGTTTTAACCGAGCCTCTTGCGTCTCCATCTGCTTAATCTGTAAAAAGAAAAGGTGGGCGAGACACTGGAGGTCATGTGAGGTCAACTCCCCGCCTTTCCCAACAGCCTCTGGGGATGGTGACCGGCCTGGGGGCCTGACCCAGAGCCCAGCCTGCGGGGACCCGCACGCTTCGGTGAGCAGAGAAATGGCGCTTTTCCTAGGGGACCGGCCAGGCTCCAGGACGGGTCAGCGCACCTTTTCCACAAGCTCTTGGTTTCTCCGGTACAGGGCTTGCTTCTCTTCAATCCACTTCATGTCCTTGAAAATGAAACGGACATGGAGGAGTCAATGCACTGCAGGACAAAACCATAAACTCAACATTTCAATCACGACTCAGCGGAGCAGAGGGTTTGACAGACGGACGCAGCATCCAGCTCCTGAAGCAGCCACCTCATAATTGTCACCCTCCTAACGACACCCCATGGCATCATCCACCCTCTTGGGGGTCCCGGATGGAGACAGGAGGGGACAGCCCTGCTTCGGTCAGACCCGCGTGCCCCCCTGTGGACGCACTCACCTGTCCCTCCTCGGCCAGGGCCTTCTCCAGGTCCTCTATCTGAGTCTGCGCTCTCTGCACTTCTGCTTGGAGCTGCTCACGGGTCTGTGGGACAGGAGGGGAGACATCAGATTTTCCCTAAGAGCCAGGACATGCCCGCATGACGGAGGTTTAGAGGCGGGGAAGTGGCCGTTAGCGCTTTGCAAGGATGCTCCGTCAGGAAGGACTTCCCGCTTCCTTGAAGCGAGGCCCTCACTCCATACGGGGGTGATCTGTGATTCCTTCTGAGGGACTGTTAGGGAAATCCTCCAGTGCAGGGTCAAACTGCCAAGGAGGACTGGGCCTGCTGGGTGCGGGCCAGGGCTGGTCCAGTCCCCGATGACAGTGTGGCCAGCAAAGCAATCGCCAGCCCCGACAGAGCCTTCCCTTTAACATGGCGCCCGCTGCTGGCCCTGGGTTCCCTCCTTTCCGGAGCCTCCCCCTTGTTTACAAAACCAGCCACCTCAGTGCCACCTGCGCCTCCTGTGAGTTAATCCCTCTGGTGTCCAAACCACAGGGCGCTCCTGCTCCCCTGGGCACCGTTTCCAGGGCAAATGGATGAAAGCGTTTGGGGCCAGCTGGGCACGGGGCCTGGGGGGGCCCTCAGCTCGGGGCCTCCTCTCCCCTAAAGGGCAGCGGGTGGGCGCAGCATCTGAGCTCAGCATGTGCTGGATGAGTGCATAATCTCAGCAAATGTCAAAACCTGAGCTCAACTGCTGGCCCTCCCTCACCCCTGGCCTTCGCTGCCAGGTGTGCAAGGAAGGGGACCTCACCCTCAAGGAGCTGCAGGCCCTGTGGCCCCCCCCTCCCCCGGAGCAAGGCCTACTGCTCTCTGGAGGTTCCTCAGCACCCCTGTACCCAGCACAGCTCTGCCAGACCCAGCCCAGGCGAGCCAGCACCGGCTCCCAAATACTGGTTCCTAGTGGTCTGGGCACAGGCCACCCTGACGGGGGCAGTGAAGGGCCCGGGGGAGGGGGGCGGGGGGAAAGTGGGGTGGTGCCTATGTCCCTGCCGCGGCCGGGGTCGAGTGGGGCGGTCCCACTGGAGTGGAAGTCAGTTAGACCTTAACTTCTCGCTCTGCGTCCAGCGTCCCTCCGACCTGCTCCTGCAGCAAGGCGTACGCGCGCTGCAGGGCCTGGTACTCCATGGTCAGCTGCCGGAACCGCAGCTCCGTCTCCTCCTTGGCCATGCCCTGGAGAGGCGCAGACACAGCGTTAGTGCCTGGCCATGACCTGGGGGCCTGGGAGGTGAGTCTGAGGCCCAGAGTGTGGGTGGCCGAGACCAGGGCCCCGCTGGGCTCCCACCTGGAGAGGCAGGTGGCTGCTGCTGCCTCCTGGGGCCCAACTGGACCCCGAAGGGATCGCTTTTCATAAACAAGCCCTGCCCGCCCCGTTACCTCCTCCAGGTCGTCGTCCGGGGTGCAGGGGGTTTGGTCCGTCCTGTCGGTTTGGTAGGATATGGAGGAGCCGTCCGATTCCAGGGAAGCCTCCTCATCGTACCCGAAGAAGGTCTCCACCACCACCGGCTTCGGTCAAAGGGACAGTGTGAGTTCGTACCAGCCGGGCTGAGCGCCAGCCCCAGGGGCCTCTCGCCGCTCCTGCCGGCTCCTCTGCTGCCCAGCTGTGGGCCAGCTGCAGGGCCACACCCCGGGGCACCCCAGGCTTCATCGCGGCTGCCCAACCTCAGGGCAAGGGGTTGCCACGTGGTCCTTCTGGAAGAGGGGCTGGCGAAGGGCCAAGGGGCCGGAGGTCTGGAAGAGGTGGGCCATCTGCACGGCAGGGACTGAGCACGGCATGGGGACCAGCTCTGCGGGGCCCAGGGCAGCGGCACTCGGATGCTGCTGTGCAGGTGACATGACTCAGGACTAACAGCGGGCACTAGCCTGGCGTTCAGCACGTGGCCCGGTGTCTAATGACTCATGTTCATTGTGTTTTCAAAGCATCGTCCTCGGCAGCTCAGAATAAAAGTAAAAACAAGCACCTTCCCCAGCTCATGGGAGAGCCCTGCCTGAGGGACGCCCCACAGCTCACCCAGGCTCCCCTCCCCGCCAGACCTTGCATGTGCCAGCTCATGGCCGGTCCCCTGGACCAGTCAACCGATGCCACATCCTCGGCCCCCAAGCCTGTCCTGCCCACTGATGGCTCCTGACTGTCCCTCTCTCATTTCACAGAGCACCTGGCCCAGGGGGAGAGTGTGAACCTCCCCCGCCCGTCCACGTCGCTGGGACCTGCTGTCGGCCTCTCGGCCTCAGAGCCCTAAGTACCTGCAACTGGCCTACACCTCTCACACCTCCACGGGCCTCTCTCTGGCTCACATGAAGGTCACGGCTGATTGTTCAAAACCAAACAAAAATCACACGCGCTCTGCAAAAAGCAGGACATGAGCCAGGTGCTTAGGAAATGTCTCCCAGATCCCAGCTAAGAAACATCACAGGTTTGTCACAAAGGATCGTGCAGCAGAGAAATCACCCAGGTCTTCGAGGGAGGGGCCTGCGTGGCGCCTGCGGGTGGGGGTGGGGTGGGGCCTGCAGCCTACAGGGCCTCAGGGCCTCAGGGTCCCAGGCAGGTTCCTCCCCTCCTTCTTATTATCATGAGTTCATATCTTGTCTTGAAAATGTTAAAGAAATAAGGCTGGCCCTAGCTGGTGTGGCTCAGTGGATAGAGCATCGGCGTGCAGACCAAAGGGTCCTGGGTTCGATTCTGGTCAAGGGCATGTTCCTCAGTTCCAGGCTCCTCCCCAGCCTGGGCCCTGGCTGGGGTGCGTGCAGGAGGCAACCACTCAATGGGTCTCTCTCACATCAGTGTTTCTCTCTGTCTTTCCCTCTCTCTTCCACTCTCTCTAAAAAATAAATGGAAAAATATCCTCGAGTGAGAATTAAAAAAAAGAAAAAGAAATAAGGCTGGATTTTTAAATTTGAAAATATGAACCGAATTATTTCCTTTGGGTCCTGCTTTGGTTCTACCACAGAAAAATTTTTTAGAAATAATGAAATCATTTTCTTTTCACGCCCAAAGGAAGCAATTCATCCCCCATACCCTGCTTTTAAAACACGTTTTAGGTGCAGCTACGCCGATGCCCTCGCACTGACCTTGGGCAGCTTGGCCATCTTCTTCCTCTGCTTCCGAAACCTCAAAAGCTTGTCGCGCTCCTGCAGAAGCCAGTTGAAGAGATGCTTTTGAGTAATTGCACAGCTCCATCCGTTTCACACGCACGGACAAGGTTCCGTGCCAGCACGGGTGGGTGGGTGTGGACAGGCTGGCGTGCCGGCCACACCGACATGAACACGCCAAGCCCACAGCCTGCTCGGGGGGGGGGGGGGGGCGCAGGGGTGGGCAGCTCGTCCCCGCTCCTCGGGCTGGAGGGCCTGGCCTGTGTGGGTGGCTCGGTCACCACCCTCATCGGTCCCCCAGCTTCTTTGATGTGGTGCTTGGCTGGGGGGCCCACGTGGGGGACAGGGGATTCGAATGGCAGCAACAGAAATGGGACCCGTGGGGACAGATGAGCCAGCCCCTGCGTCCTCTGAGCAGCTGCCTACAGACGGGGAGCCCACAGATGTGGGCGTGGACCCCCTGAATGTGTGAGGAGGCCAGTGACCTGCTGCTCTCGGGGAGCGAGGCTGCATCTTTGTGACGGTGACCAAATCCACCAGTCCCAGCCCGTGGGTGCATGCCGGCAGGGCTGGGGAACCCTGGTGGGGGGAAGGGCCCAGAGAGGAGGGCCCTCCGACCGCGGGTTGACTAAGTGAGTTGGTACTGGGCAGAGCTGGTGGCCCCTGGACAGGTGGGCATTCTCGGCCACCACGGCAAAGCCTCAGGGCAGGTAGCGCTGTGGCCACAAAATCCACCTGGGAGCTGGCACGGCCACTTGTCCGGCCTGGAAGGAGCCATGGGCACAGGGATCCCGGGAACGGGGCACCAGAGAGAGTGTTCGGACAGGCAGTGCCAAGTGTACTTACTAGCACGCTCTTCACATAGCCGGCCGTCTCCAGCGCCTGGAAGAGAGGACATTCATTCTCCTGGAGACTCAGAGAGCAGACCCCAGAGTCCTGCACCCCCAAACCTCTGGCGCTTCCTGACTGCAGTATGGCGTCCCTCCCCGCCGACCTGCCCTGAGAGGGGCGGCCTCATTCGGCCCCGATGGGCCTCCCTCCCACCCTCAGCTGACCCCCAGCCCCGTGGCCTGCGAAAGCACCCAGGGCCCTCAGTGCAGGGCGAACTGGCCTTTTGAAACGTGTGTGATTTTTCCCTTTCCTGTTCCGCCATAAGTTCTTATAACTTTGATTTGGGGTCCTGCCTCCAGAACGGGGAGGGAATCTGTGGCGGTGGTTTTGAGCCCCGGGTGGTGGTCACCGTGGCCCCAGCACTGGTGTTGTGGCTCCTGACACCACTGGTCCGGAGGGGGCCACCTCCAGTGTGACCGGTGCAGGGACCCAGCCAAGAAGACCCCAGGGAGAGGCCGGGAGGACAAACAACCCCATCTCCCATGGGGCTCCTTTAGGCAGACCCCCAGGGGCAAGGGGCTGGGGTGGGGGGAGCCTCCAGGGGGCAGCGCAGAGAAGTGGGGGAAAGGAGCTGGGGGGCACCTTGGACAGCTCGTCGATGAGGTTCTGCTGCTCCACGATTTGGAGTTTCAGGAAGTCAATCTCTCTCTCATCTTGACTCTGATCCAGGTCGTTGAGGGAACTGGGTCTCCTTATGATGCCGGCTCTTTGTCTCTGAAAAGCCAACCAGACCACGTCACTCCCGGGGAGGAGCAGGGCAGTCCGACTGGGCGACGGGCAGCCAGGGTCCTCCCCTCTCCGCTCAGACCCCGGAGCGGCCCGCTTGGAGCCTGGGAAATCGAGGCTGCGTCTTAGCACCTGAAACAGGAAGGGCTCAGAGCCCATGGGGAGACATGTGAGCCGTCCGTGCCAGTTCACAGCCCACAGCCGTTCCCAACGTCACAGTGTAAAAAGAGGGGATTCTGCCCTAACCGGTTTGGCTCAGTGGATAGAGCTTCAGCCTGCGGACTCAAGGGTCCTTGGTTCGATTCCGGTCAGGGCCTGTACCTTGGTTGGGGCACATCCCCAGTAGGGGGTATGCAGGAGGCAGCTGATCCATGTTTCTCTCTCATTGATGTTTCTAACTGTCTACCCCTCTCCCTTTCCTCTGTAAAAAAATCAATTTTAGCCAAGACCGGTTTGGCTCAATGGATAGAGCGTCGGCTTGGGGACTGAAGGGTCCCGGGTTTGATTCCGGTCAGGGGCATGTACCTTGGTTGCAGGCATATCCCCAGTAGGGGGTGTGCAAGAGGCAGCTGGTCGATGACACTCTCTCTCATCGATGTTTCTAACTCTCTATCTCTCTCCCTTCCCCTCTGTACAAAATCAATAAAAAAATATATTAAAAATAATAATAATAAAAAAATAATTAAAAAATCAATTTTATATATATATTTTTTTTTATTTATTTTTTTTTAGAGGTTCTGCACAGGGGTATGTGGAGGGCAATCCTCCCACCTCCCCCTTTCTCACATCCCTGGTTAAGCTCTCACTCAGGGCCTCTGGGGCCCTCAGGGGCAGAACAAACACACCCGACACCAGCTAATCACCCCACCTGCTTGGTGGTGGCAGCAGTAGTGGGGCACCCCTGGCCCCCTGGTCAGTGCCCCCTGCCCGGTCGGTTGTTCCTTTCTCTCGCAGCCAGTCCTGAGCTCCCATCACCTCTGTCCCAGGTACTCGGAGTTGGAAGGCGGCCTGGGGGTGGGGGTGTGACTGCTCAGAATCTTACTCCGTGTCACTCCCCAGGCAGGCGACACCCTGCCCTCAAGAGCCCAGACCCTCAGCTACGGTCCTGGCAGGTAGTTCCTATCCCCACAGGACTCCAGGGACCGGGAGCGTGTAAGACCGTGTGGTGAGGTTGTCATGGTTACCCTCCTGTGGCTGACGGACAGGTCAGGGCCCCTTACCATTTCTATGTTCTCCTGAGTGACAAACTTCAACTTGTTTTCCATTCGACGCAGCGTGTGAGACAGACTCTCGTTTTTCCGAGAGAGCCGCTTGTTTTTATCCAGCAGAGGCTTGTACTGGCTTTCAGCTTCTCTCAAACGCTTTAGCTGAAAGACACCATTAGTTACAAGCACAATTTTTTTAGGCGTGACAGAGAAGCAGCCGGTCCCCCGACGGAACCTGCAGGCTGAGCAGAACTAGCTTGGCGACAGCGAAGGGTTGGAGTCGAACCCGATAAGAGCTGTAGAACCAGGACCCCCGGGGAGCCCTGGGCGGCCCTCATCCAGGGACAAGCCACTCAGAAACCCCAGCGGCTGCAGGGACTGACGGAGATGGCGCCGCTGAAGGCTGAGGTCCTCAGACAACGTGAAGAACGGAGGATACTTTTGCCCCATAATACAGAGCAGGGAGCAGCCAACCTGCAGCTGAGGCCCATATCTGGCCCTCAACCTGGTTTTGTTAACACGGTTTTATTGAAACAGCCAAGAGGCCTGGACACGAGCCCGCCCTTGTCACCATCGCTCCTTTCCACGGGGATTTTGGAAGTCCAGCCTACCCTGCCCTGCCGCTCACCAGCTCATTCCTCTCTTCCGACAGCAAGGCGTTCCGGTCCTCGAGTTTCCGAATGATGCCGCTTAGCTCTGCGATTTTAAGTTGGAAACGCCGGGCATCCTTTTCATCCAACTGCTGTTCCTAAAACAGAAATCCACTGCAAACAACTGCTCGTAGATGCGGACGGAGAAACCTCTGCAAACCCCAGCACGGCGCAGAGACCAGAGCACTTTCAGGTCACGATGGCCGGAGACGCTGGCTGGGCGGTGGGCGAGGGACCCTCCTAGGGGCTGGAGCGCCATGGTGGCAAGCCGTGAGATGGGACAGAATGCAGGAGCAGAAATGTCCAGAAAATGAAAATGTGGAAGGTGAGGGCATGCAAAGGCAGGCACCGCGGCCACAGCGACCCAGAAAGCATCGGAACTGGCCCACGCACGCCTCAGTCTCTGCCGTCTGCCCCTTGGGCAGGGTCTGCCCCCCAGGCGGGAATCACCTCCCTAGCATTCTAAAGTGAGCACATTGGACTCACGACTCTCAAAAGCGGCTTCCCCAAGATTATGCTCCTGAAAGGTCACTTTGGAACTTTGGGCAAAAATCCGTGACAACATTGTTATGCGGTTTGAGACCTCTGGGGCTGGCACAGTCTAGCCGGGGTCAGCCCAGGGCAGGCGCTGTCTACTCCAGCTCCGCCATGTATAACAGGACGATCGAATGTCACTTTCTATCCTCAAATGTCACCGTCCCAGGGCTGGCTCAGCTCACACACGGTTTTGTCCTGCAGCAAACGGGTGCCCAGGAGGACGGAGGGATGCTTCCTCACTCAGCAGGTGCAGGAGAGGCTAGGGGCAGGCCCAGAGGACCTCCTGGAGGGTCCTTGGAATTCAGGCCCTCCCTCCTCACCACCCCCCGACTTCCCAGGACCACCCAAGAGGGCTCTGAATGAGCAGCGGCAAAGAGGAGATGAGTGACGTCACAGCCGGGCAGCTGCTGGCCCTGTGCCATCCTGGAGGGCCAGGGAGGAGCAGGCCAGTGTCCCGGTGACATGGAAAGCCGGTGGGCGGGCAATGGGTGACGCGAATGGCGGAAATCACTGCACGGGGGTCAAGTTCAGGATGAGGGGAGCAGAAGGCAAAGCCTGTGTGTGGACAGGGAAGCAGCTCAGCCTCGTGTCCCACCAGCCCGGGCAGGAGCCAGCACCAGGGCCCCTCCTCAACCTGGGAGCTCGGTGGCTCAGAGGGGCTCCAGCGGGGAGCCCAAAGTTTTGGGGGGTCCATGGCAGGGGGACCCTGTGAAGGCAGGGCTACCCACTACGTTAACAGGGAAGGAAGGACAAAGGCTGCCCGCCCTCTCAGCCACGCCAGAGAGCCGAGGGGCCCGGGGCCCGGCTGGCGGGCTGCTGGCACGGTTGGCGTTCCAAGGCTGGGAGAGCTCAGGCTCTGGACACGGGCTGGGGGAGCTTCCCCGCAGGGACACGCAGCCGCACGTGTGCGAGACGGGGAGGTGCTTACAGGGCTTCCCGAGTGGTCTGAGGCGTCTCCTGCACCGCTGGCACAAGGAAGTTCCCGTCTGGGGCTGCCCAGGTGCCGGTCAGCCTCTCTGACCTGGGACAGCTGCTCATCGAGAGCCTCCTTTTGGAGCTGCAGTCTCTGAGCATGCCCGGCTTGAATCCCTAACTCTCTCTCCAGCACGAAGACTGCTCTGTCCTTAAATTTTATCTCCTCCATCTACAAGGAGAACAGAACACAATCACACAGGCAGGCAGGATGCAGATCTGTTACCATAGCGACAGGCAGAATGCACAAGCATCAGGAGGGGTCCCCCCCACACACACATACGGCAGCCCTCCCCACTCTCCCTGTGCTCCACCTCCTAACAGCTGTGAGGAGCCACCTGCCTCCCAGATCCCCTCCGGGCGCCATGGGTGTGTCTGAGGCCAAAGGTGGGCTTCCCCCAGAGGGGAGGGCAGAACCAACCTCACCGCTGCCCGCCCCTCAGACACGCAGGCGCAGGTGGCATGGGCATCGTTACAAACGATGCCAGGTTTGCAAGAAGGCTCGGTTTAAAACGTATTTTGAACAGCAGAGTGGGAGAGGATGTCTCGTTGCTTTGTGTGCTGTTTAAGGTTACAGTAAGCTAATAAATCAGCCATCTGCTGAAGTCAGCTTGGAAACAAAGAGATGAGATGTCTAATTAGCCCAGCTCGCAGAATTCATGGGGAAGCGGTGAACTGAATAGAAAAAAAAAATCCTTAATTGCTAAATTCCCATTTATTGGAACTCACTGAAATGCAGAGGCAACACAGTCAATTATGGAAACAGAGGCCAGTGGAGAGGAAACCAGATTAACACGCTGCTATATCCTGTAGACTCCACAGTCAATGTGGAGACTCTCCTTTATCATTTCTTGTTTGTTTTTTAAAATATATTTTATTGATTTTTTTACAGAGAGGAAGGGAGGGGGATAGAGAGTTAGAAATATCAATGAGAGAGAAACATCGATCAGCTGCCTCCTGTACACTCCCTACTGGGGATGTGCCCACAACCAAGGTACATGCCCTTGACCAGAATCGAAAGGGGACCTTTCAGTCCGCAGGCCAACGCCCTATCCACTGAGCCAAACCAGTTTCAGCTCCTTTATCATTTTGGTGTTCTTTCCCCCCACTGTCCCCAGAAGTGGGACGCTAGGTCCCAGGGCCATTTCTGGCCAAATTTTCACTCCAAGCGGAAGGGAAGTGACGGGCCTGTTCCATGCCTGCCTGGCTCTGATGTGTTCTGTGAGCTCAGCCAGGTCTCCCTTCCCCGCCGAGACTGTACAGAAGAGTCATGGGCCAAGAAAGGTCCAGTTGCTCTTGAAGAACAAAGCCAGAGAACACTCCTCCAGAAATCAAGACTTACGATAAAAGCGAGAATAATTTAAAAATGAACTCGAAGAAGGGCTGTGATAGAACAAACTAGAAAGCCCACTCCTATAATAATGAAGTAGCCTGTGGGTTGGGGGAAAGGTGGTCTTTTTCATAAGGGCTGCTGTAACAGTTGTATATCCCTGTGGAAGACGTATAACCGGACCCCCACCTTATAGCACGCACGCGCGCGCACACACATAAACCCAGGCACGGCCAATACCTATGCATGAAAGATAATGTTCTTAAAAGATAACACTTCATGGCTCCAGAATAAAAAATTTCTTAAACAAGACATAATAAGCACCAGCCATACATAAAAAGATCAACCAATTAGGCCACTTTAGAATGTACAGTTTTAGATTGCAAAACGCCACCACCAAGAACAGAGAAAGCTTCCCCAGGGTGAGGAAGGGGCTTGCATTTCCGTATACATTTTAGAATCAGCTTCAGAAAAGCCTGCTGGGATCGACAGGCTTTGTTTGCTCCTTATATTAATCTGGGGAGAAATGCCACCTAACAATGCCCAGCTTCCAATCCATGAATGTGGAATGTCTACTTATTTGTTCAGTTCTCCAGTCCATGAACATGGAATCTCTATCTTTGTTTGTTCAGCTCACCAATCCATGAGCATGGAATGCCTCTTTGTTTATGCAGCTCACTTCTAGTTTCTCTCAGTCGAGTAGTGTAGTTTTCAGAGTTCAAGTCTTGCACATCTTTTGTTAAACTTCTAAATATTTTATTCTTTTTTATGCCATCATGAGTGGAATTTTTAAACATTTAATTTGAATTGTTACTACTAAATAAAAATACAAACGATGGTTGCATATTGATCTTTTGTCCTAAAACCTTACTGAATTCATTTAAAAGTTCTTTTGGGCCGAGACCGGTTTGGCTCAATGGATAGAGTGTCGGCTTGGGGACTGAAGGGACCGGGGTTCGATTCCAGTCAAAGGCATGTACCTTGGTTGCGGGCACATCCCCAGTAGGGGGTGTGCAAGAGGCAGCTGATCGATGACTCTCTCTCATCGATGTTTCTAACTCTCTATCTCTCTCCCTTCCTCTCTGTACAAAATCAATAAAATATATTTTTTTAAAAAAGTTCTTTTGGGGCCCGGCTGGTGTGGCTCAGTGGTTGAGCGTCGACCTATGGACCAAGAAGTTTAGGAACCAAGTTCCATTCCTGGTCAGGGCACATGCCCTGGTTGCAGGCTTGATCCTTAGTGGGGGGCATGCAGGAGGCAGAAATCAATGATTCTCTCTCATCTTTGATGTTCCTATTTCTCTCTTCCTCTTCCTTCCTCTCTGAAATCAATGTGTGTGTGTGTGTGTGTGTGTGTGTGTGTGTGTGTGTGTGTGAGTGTGTTTAAAAAAAGAGGAAGCTAAGGGGAGAATCTAATACCTGGGAGGGGACAGGTCACCACCCCAATTGTTCCCCTGAGACACTGCCCACACCGTAAATAGCAGTTCCCTCCATTTGAGTGCCCATTTGTTCCCACTGATACGGAGTCAATGTAATTTAGGGAGGCCTGGCCGGAGTCAGGGAGTGGGGGAGAGGGGGCCAGAAGAGGGGTTGAGAGGGAGGGATCAGGAAGTGAAAGCTTAAGCATGTTTTTGAGAATTTGGAACAAATACCAGGAGAACCTGCTGGAGCTGCCTCTGGGGAGTCTGCGTCAGGGGTGAGGAACCGAGGGACCTGCTGGCTCCGTGCCAGCCTTCAGTGAAGGAGAGAGGCCACCCGTCTCCTGTGAACACTGAAGCCAGCCGGTGGATTGGAGGGTATTGTGGGCTGGACAGCAGTGCAGACGTGGCACCCACAGGGCTGGGGGTGGAGCCATGGGGGGAGCACGGAAAAGAGACGCTCTGGAAAGTGCAAGGTGGAGGACACTGTGGGCCCCGAGCACACACTGGGTGGGGCGGGGGGGGGGGGGTGTCTGCCTCACAGCTCAGTTTCCCCTCGGCCATGGGTCTAGGGGGCTGCAGCCTTTCTGGGAAGTCCAAGGTGGCAGCATCGTTTGTAAAACAGAGGCCCAGGGAAGTAGGGGCTGGTGGCCTGGGAGCAGGGCCATGCCGTGTCCCATGGACGAGCATCCAGGGTGCTGGGTGTCACCAGCAGAGCCAGCCGAGTCCTAATGAATCGTACACTGGGACATGGGGCACGCCACTAACGCTGATCCCCATTCCCCCAAACCACCAAGGAGGTCCCGGCTCCAAGGGGAGAGGAGAACCGGCACAATCCCTCAGGATTCCTGAATGTTCTCTGACCCCCCCAGCCCTGGGGCTCTGAGAACACTGACTCCACGGGGCCTGCCAGGGGACACGGTCTCTGACCACGAGATGTGCAGGTGCCCATGCCTGACCTGCAAGATGGTAACTTCCCGCCATCCAGCCTCAGAGCATGCACAGGCACAGGGACAGCAGGACAGCCTGGGGGACATGCCACCCACTCTGTCCTCTGGACCCAGTGAGCTGGACAGACTGCAGAGTGTGCCCGGCGATGGGGGAAGTGACTGTGCCAGCAGAGCACGTCCCCTGCGTGGCTTGCAGCCTAACCTGCACTCTAAGGAGGGGAGGCTCTCAAAACCATTGCAGGCATCCTGTTCTGGCCCAAACGAGACACAGGAGATAAAACTGGTAGGAGATGGGCAGAGGGACGACCTCTGCTGACCGCTGGCCCTTCTGACCTTTCCTCGCATCCTCATGTCCCCAGGGCCAATAGCGATGGTGTGGGTGCCTGTGCCCAGAAGCAGGCCCAGCCCTGGCTGCCACCCCTCCCCGGTCCCCCTGCCGTCGCCGCCCCTTCCCTCCCCGCCACCTGCAGCCCACGTACCAGCCTGCGGATCTCACGCTCACACTCCTTCTTGATGCGGGAGATCTCCTCCTGGTGCAGGTGGTACACGCTCCGGATCTCCGCGGCCTTGATCTTGTCGGCCTGCATGACCACGGTCAGCGCCTCCTCCACCTGCCGCTTGGCCCCCTTGAGCTCCAGGATCTCCTGCTGCATCTTCACCTTCTCCACCTCGAAGCCCTTCTTGGCCTCCTCCTTGGCCTCGGACAGCAGCCCGGTCTTGACCTTCTCGGGGCCGCCGTCGCGCAGGGCGTGCAGCAGCGCCTGCAGCCGCTGGTTCTCGTTGTCCTTGATCTTGATGACGCGCAGCAGCTCGGCCTCGTGCTGGCGCAGCAGCGTCTCGCGCACGGCCTGCAGCTCCTTCATCTTCTCCTCGTGCAGCTTGCTCTTCAGCTCCGTGAGCAGCACCGCGTTCTTGTGCTGCTCGTGCTCGCGCACCTGCTTCAGCTCCTGGTTCTTCTCTCTCTCCACCCGGCTGACCTGCAAGACAAGAGCGAGGCGGGGTCGGCCCCGAGCAGCCCCTACCCTGGCCCAAGTCTGCACGCTGACCTTACAAAAGTTTAGTTTGCAAACTGGGTTGCTGCTTCCACTCAAGAAGGTCTCCTTAAAATGCAACTGAGGCCTCGCTGCTTTGGCTCAGTGGATAGAGCGTCAGCCTGTGGAGTGAAGGGTCCCGGGTTCGAACCTGAAAGTCAGGCAACTCAGAGAAGCAACGGGCCCCCAATAATCTGGTTCCCTCCCTGGCCAGGCCTCCTAGGAGAGATGTGTATGTGTTGGGGGAGCGGGGAGGGGACTTACAGTCTCCAGTCCACAGCGGAGGGCCTTTCAAACCCTCCAGGAGAGAAACCCCCTGGCTCCTCCCCCCCATCCTCTCCCTTCGCAGCCCCCTCCCACAGGCCCATGAGCGCTTCCTAGTACCTCCTGGGATGAGGGGCAGAGTCATGGAGAGAGGAGGGCAGTGTGGGCAGTGGGCGGTGCTGAGTGGGGCACCACCTCTGACCAGTCTCTCACCCTCCCCACCCAGGTCCCTCGTCAGAACAAGCCCAGCCTTCCCTAAGGCTGCAAGGACCCCAAGAGCTGGGCTTCTGAGTTTGGTCCCCACAGCTGTTGCCTTCAAATAGCTGAGGGCCACGCTGGACCTGGTATATTCGGGTTCGATGCCACTCTGAACACTCCAGGGGAAAGGACATTGTCCAGGGATGGTTCCCCTTGACAAGGTCCTGGGCTTGTCCTGGCAGTCAGGGCTGTTCCCACGGGGCCAGGGCCTGTGTCCTGCTGCCCCGTCCCCAGAGCTGCCTGGAGAGGCTCTGGGGAGCCAGGACCAACTGGGTAGCATTTCTGCAGAGACCTGGCTGCACCCCATACAGCCTCTGGGCTGACCCAGGGGAGGAGGGAGAGGGCGGGGAGTGGGGAGGAGTTGGGGGGGGAGCTGGGTGTGGGAAGCCCACCTTGCTCTTCTCCTGCTGCAGCTCAATCTGGATGTCCGTGAGCTTGGCCCGCAGCTCCTCGTTGGCGGCCTGCAGAGCAGCAAAGGCCTCGGCCTTGTCCCCCTTGGCTCGGCTGCCCGGGCCCTTCTTGGACATGGTGAGGGAGCCCGAGGGGCGCTGGGGCGGCCGCCGGGCTGGGCTGGGCTGTCCACGCCAAGCTGGGCAGGTGTGCCTGCTGCCGCCCCACTACATCTTCTCACTCACCTGCGGGGAAAGCACAGCTGGGTGAGCAGCCAGCCTCAGGCCTGAGCCTGGAGCCAGAGGAGGCAGGCGGGGGCCAGGCCCGCCTCTCACCTGCCCTGAGGGCGCTGGCCTGACTGCAGGCCGGTCCCAGGTGGCAGAGGCCCGGGGCCCTCCATCAGCGCCCCTGACCGGGACCCATTGGCGAGAGCCTTTACTCTCCGCCCCTTCGGTTACCTGGCTCCCGGGGGAACTAAGGGAGCCTTTCACTGCTGAGCTGCTCAAAGCCTTATATTTATGACAATATCCTCAAATCCATGACCCTGATCTTGGTTTTGAGAAGAAAGTCCTCGTGTGTTGTCCTGGTTGTCTCACATTTGGGATCCAACGGCAGAGCCAGAGGCCAGAGCGGGCACTCTGGTCTTCACCCCACCGACACGTTTCCTTAGCTCATCTCATCCATATCTCAGTCAGCAGCAGGATTATTTACTAAATGCCACGTGACCCATGTACCCTTTCCACAACCCTTTCTCTGAACGCCTGGGGAAACTGAGGCACGATGTAATGACAACTGCTTCTTTTAAAAAAAAGTGTTTATAGGATGCTATTTCCTTGTGTAGAGTGATGTCAATGGACATACTGTGATTCTTTTTTTTTTTTTAATATATTTTATTGATTTCAGAGAGGAAGAAGGAGAGAGAGATAGAAATATCTATGATGAGAGAGAATCATTGATTGGCTGCCTCCTGCACACCCCACACTGGGGATCGAGCCCACAACCCAGGCGTGTGCCCTGACTGAGAATCGCACCGTGACCTCCTGGCTCATAGGTCGACGCTCAGCCACCGAGCCAGGCCGGCCAGGCCACATTGTGATTCTTGATTAAGTTGTAAAGAGAAGGCAGCATCCACCCACAGGGCTGGTGGGTGATGAGGACTCGAGCCTTAAACAGGCCTGGTTCTCAAGATGAAGCAAGGCCCTGGCAGTCCCTCTCTCTCCCCAACCTGGAGCCAGCAGGGCCTCCCACTGGGCCGTAGTCGGTGCCCACCACACCCAGCACTAAGTGCAGTCCCAGCCGAGCCCCCGCCCCCACCCCCATGCCTGCCATTCAAGCTCCAGCTTGGCATATGCCACCAAAGAAACACCCTGTTCAGGATGAGCAATGCTGCCAGAGGGGAGCGGGACAGCGCCCCTCACAGGCAGGAGCCGGGACGCAGAGGCTCGGAGCATCTCCCTGGGAGAGTCTGCACATGCTCCTCCACCGCCAGCTCCCAGCCGGCCGGTGTGAATGTGTCTAAATATAGCAGCGGGTTCAGCAGGAATAAACCTGTGCAGAACGACCTCGGTCCTCCCCGAAAACAGCAACGCCTCTGAGCACTCACAAAGCAGCACTCCCAGGCCCAGCCCTGCCGGCCTGCGCGCTCCTCACCGTTCTCCTGGCAGACCCGGAGGCTCCGCGGGCTCTGTGACTCAGCAAACCCGGCCTTGGCTTTTCAGATGGCATTCACCACGCTGCCACTTCCTCCAGGGGAGGGCCAGCCGCGGCTCCGGCTCCGAGCAGATGCTGTGGCAGGATCGCCGGCTCCCCGGTGCATGAGAACGCCACACCCAGACTGGAGTCTCAGGAACGCCCAGCTCCTGTCCCCTGGGAGGCTGCGTAGACGGCTGCTGGTGCGGGAGGGAGCCGGCCGCTCAGCCCCCGGGGAAAGGCAGAGCCCTTGACGGGGTCCTGCGAGCTGCCCTCCTCTGTGTGCCCCGAGGGGAAGCCTGACCGAGGGGGGGGGGGGGCACGCGCCCAGGTGAAAGGACAGGTGAGAAAGGAGCAGCGCTGACTCCCTGCCCACGTGCTTGCCCGGTGTCCGGCCGCTCTCTAAGGAGAGGACCCACCCACCACTCGGGTGGGTCCTCTCCTTAGAGAACTCCCCTGGCGTCCAGGTCAACAGTATGAACGAACCTCTGCTTCAGTGTAAGTGGCGGGTGACAGAAGAAACTTGTGTCCCTTGAACTCCAAAGAGTGAAAATACACAAACACAACAGACAAATGGCGGCCAGAGCCTGGTGCAATTGTTGAGCCAGGCACGCCCCCCGAGGACACCCTGCTGGATCCGTAACAAGCCCAGATGCACGGGGGAATGTGCTCAGGGCCTGGGTTGTCCCGGTCTGTAGGGTTTCCAGCCGAAGGGCATGGAGCATCCAGCTGGCCCGGTCCAATCAGGGAAACAAGACCGCGGGGCAGAGCGCCTGGCCCAGCACAGAAACTGAGCTGCATTCGAGTCAGAACAACTGGGGGTCTCCCCACGTGGAGAACCCGTGTGAGCCTCTGAGTGAGGAGCCGGCGGCTGCTGGTCCAACGGCCGCCCCCCTCCCATTTCTAGGGGACGTGAAGCCATCTGTCCACTGTGCTGCTCTCTCCTTAATCCTGCCCCAATGACACGCTGTTGGTGGTGCCAGGTCGGAAGTCTTCGTATCTGGTAAGGCTCGTCTCTTCCTCCTTGTTCTTCAAGTTTGGCTTTTTTTGACCATTTATGCTTCTACTTGTCAGTTTGTCCCAGGCCCTGAAGACTCTGACTAGGACCCTCCTCGGTTCACGGAGAGAAGATGGACATGTCTTGGGTGCTGGGCCTCCTGCTTCGTTCCCCCTCTGCTCAGGGCTTCCTCGTGTCTCTCAAGGAAGCAGCATTTTCTCCCAAAGGCTTTACACAACCTTCGACATATGTACTCGGGTACCTGATCTGTGTGCTCCGATCACGAATGGTATTTTTGTGTATCCTTGGTGCCTTCTCCTCGCCGTAACTAGGCGAAAGCTGGGATGGAGGAAAGCCATTGATGTCTCCATGGTGACCTGTGCCAGCGACCTGCTGACACCTCCCAGGTCATGCCCACCCGCTCTGGAGAAGGCAGTTTTGTCTCCCCCTTCCCAGTCCTTATACCTCCTATCTTTCCCCATGCTGCTGTGCTGGGTGGGGCCTCCAGCACCCCGGTAAGTAGAAGCAGTGATAATTAGCATCTTTCTCTCATTACTTCCTTGAAATTTTATAGCGGGTTCCCCATGAGGGACCACTTTGCTGCAGAATTTTCGATTCCTTTTATCACGAGAGCATTTATCTGTACCCAAATATGCTAAGTGAACATTTTTTAAGTTTGTGAATGGGTGTTGTCATTTATCAAACGCTTTTTCTGGGGCTGATAGAATCACTGTATTGTTCTCTCCTGATTCCTCCAGAGCCAGCCTGTGCCTGCCCCCACCCCACCCCAACCCCGGGGCCACCTGCAACCTGACCTTTGACTTGCTCACCAGTCTTTTATATATATATATATATATATATATATATATATATATATATATATATATATATATATATAATTGATTTTGTACAGAGAGGAAGGGAGAGAGATAGAGAGCTAGAAACATTGATGAGAGAGAGTCATCGATCAGCTGCCTCTTGCATACCCCCTACTGGGGATGTGCCCGCAACCAAAGTACATGCCCTAGACCGGAATCACACCCGGAACCCTTCAGTCCCCAAGCCGACGCTCTATCCATTGAGCAAAACCAGTATCGGCTCACCAGTCTTCCTGGTTGGGAGGTTCTGACCACCTCTGTCCTGAAGCAAACTCAAGGCTTCTACATCCGTCCAGAGGCCACTGTTGCAGCTGAGGACCAGCCACCTCCGTGCAGTCCTTGAGGGGAGACATCGGGGGGTGTCCTCCAGGCCCAAAGAGGCAGCAGGAGCAGCAGGGCCGAAGCCCACGGGCCTCCCTCCCCGGAAGGACCCCTTCATGGTCCCGTGTGGCCATAGTTGCCTCGTAAAAGCCATCTTTACTTAGATACACAGGGACGTGGGTGTTTTCAAGGTCCCCCTGACTTGGACAGGTCCATCACTACACCTTCATCCTCAATGAAATGGCCTCCCTCCAGAGGGGATAAGATTTTGGGGCGAATCTCAGCTCCTATGGGAGACTTCAAATACACACTCCTACGTTTGGGGACCATGTCTCCTGGCAGCCAGGCAGACACCGGTGACCATGCTTCATCGTGAAGACGGGAGACCTCCCGCTCTGCTTCACGGGCCCTGGGAAGCTCAGGGGCTTGAACTCAGCATCTGGCAGGCTCCCCCCACCCGGAAGAGCCCTGATGGAGGTCCTCTCCTTGGACGCCACTCGAGGTCCTGGCACCGGGCGCCCCAGTGCAGTGTGTACACGGCACCATTGTGCCCGGCGCTCATGAGCGCGTGTAACCCAGAGCCCCTGCAGAGAATACGCTGCATTCATGCTGGGCGGAGTGAGGTGGGCAGCTGTCCCAGGCTAGAACGGAGATAACGTCCCTTTCATGGGGTAAAAACATAGGACACAGTTGCCCTTGTCCCAGCCCGGGGCCCTAAGGCCTGCTGTTCAGAGAGGAAGAGACAGGGCCTGGGAGGGGACAGAAGGCTCCACAGGCTCAGGCTGGGTAGCTCAGTTGGTTAGATTGCAGGTTCAATCTCTGATCGGGGCACATACAAGAATCAACCAATGGCCGAAACCGGTTTGGCTCAGTGGATAGAGAGTCGGCCTGCGGACTGAAAGGTCCCAGGTTTGATTCCAGTCAAGGGCATGTACCTTGGTTGTGGGCACATCCCCAGTAGGGGGTGTGCAAGATGCAGCTGATCAATAATTCTCATCGATGTCTCTTCCTCTCTATTAAAAATCAGTAAAAGCCAAGACCGGTTTGGCTCAGCGGTAGAGCGTCAGTCTGCGGACTGAAAGGTCCCAGGTTTGATTCTGGTCAAGGGCATGTACATTGGTTGCAGGCATATCCCCAGTAGGGGGTGTGCAAAAGGCAGCTGGTCAATGTTTCTCTCTCATCGATGTTTCTAGCTCTCTATCTCTCTCCTTTCCTCTCTGTAAGAAAAGTCAATAAAATATATATTTTTAAAAATCCATAAAATATATATTTTTTAAAAGAATCAACCAATGAATGCATGTACAAGTGAAACAACAAAACGATGTTTCTCTCTCTCCCTCCCTCTCTCAAATCAATTTTT